GGGATTGTGGATTGTAGGCTGGCTTTCTTTGCTTTATGTAAGAGTTAGCCAATAAGAAGCTGAAGCTCTAGCTTCTTTTTTTTAATATTTATTTATTTATTTATTTATTATGTATACAACATTCTGCCTTGATGTATGCCCACACACCAGAGCAGGGTGCCAGATCTCAGTACAGATGGTTGTGAGCCACCACCATGTGGTTGCTGGGAATTGAACTCAGGACCTCTGGAAGAGCAGCCAGTACTCTTAACCTCTGAGCCATCTCTCCAGCCCAAGCTCTAGCTTCTTATTGGCTAACTCTTACATCTTAATTTAACCCATCTCCATTAATCTGTGTATCACCACATGGCAGTGGCTTACTGACTAAGTTCCAGCATCCATCTCTGGTGGCAGCTCCACGGCTTCTCCCTGACTCTGCCTTCTTCTTCCCAGCATTCCGTTTAGTTTTCTCTGCCTTGCTCTGTTCCCCTACAGCTCTGCCATAGGCCCAAAGCAGTTCCTTTATTAACCAATGAAAGCAACACATAGACAGAAGGACCTCCTACACCAACTCCTGTCTGAAGTTTTTGTTCTGTTTTGTTTTTGAGACAGGGTCTCACATAGCTCAGGCTGGTCTCAAACTTACTAGGTGGAAGCAGATGCTTTGAATATCTGATCCTTCTGCCTCCATTCCCAAATGCCAAGATTACAGGTGTGTGTCACCACAGCCAGCAGGGAATTTTATATTCTGTAAATTATACCATGAGAAGACTGATATGCCTGTACATATGTGTGGTATGTATGTATTCTATACAGCTATGAATAAATCTAAAAATAGTTGCAAAAGGAGATTGCAGACTAATGCCATCAGTGATGATATAAGGTCAATAAAATTATAAAGCAAGTCAGTATGATTAATAAGATGAACAAGTGTCAGCACCTGTGGTGATCTTCGGGAAATGGAGCCGAGACTTCCGGGCAATGACTTCTGGTTTGTCAGGAACACTTTGTTCCTCACACATGTGCACACACAAGCATGCACACATGCACACTCACACACTCACACGTCATCTGAAGGGAAAATTATAGCTTGCTAATATTTGTTAATTGGGTTGGTTTTATTTGCTTATCTTTTCAGTGTTTAAATTGATTTTGTTTTCAAAGGAAAGGCACCAACTCCTCCCAGGGAGGCAGAGTGGGGTCCTGGAGGTGACCATTGAATGCTGAAGGAAGAATGGGTGAGGCAGGTTTAACCCGTGCAGAGAGCTGGGGAAAGGAAGTGTAGGGTGTCCCAGGCCGGGTGATAAAAACATACAGGCAGCGTTGAGATGTTTGATGAGTCCCTTGCATTTATGGAGCGGCCCTTTCTCCACCACCTTCCCTTTCTCTGTGATTTCAGCACTTCTGTATTTGGGCTGTGTGCACAGTAATCACGGTCCTGGAAGAAACTGTCTTGTGTAATTTTATGACTTTAATTCACTTATTTTAAAGATTTATTTTTAATATGTATGTCTGTCGGGGGGGGGTATATATACATGCGTACGGTGTCTGTAAAGTCCCAAAACATCTAGGGAGTTGTGAGCCACCTGATATGGGTGCTGGGAACTGAACTCGGGTCTTATGGGAGAACAGGCATGCTCTTAGTCACTGAGCAATCAGTCCTCTTTCCCTAGTGTGATACCTCTTGAAGTCTAGCTGACCTCGTGAGGGCTGGTGAAGCAGTGAGGTGAATAGAAGCCCCACATGAAAATGAGGATCGATACAGAGAACCTAGAGTTCAGCCATGTGCAAGTCCATTTGAAAGTCAGCTGAAACAATAGTTTTCTGAGAAAATGTAATCCGTTAACCCCAGAAGAGCTGGAAATTCAAACAAACCAATAATTATGGGAAGAACCAAGTCCTCAAAAAAACCTAAAAGAGCCAGGTTTAGATAGTGTCTGTTGACCCTTCAAGGACCGGGTAGTGGGAATGTTATTTAATTATCACCACCCATACTGGTCTTAGGGAAGAGATTCCAGGCCCTTCTGTGAAACTGGTACCATGCTGATAACAAAGCACAGGACAGCTGGCGTGAGGCACACATTCTCATAATTCACAGATTAAAGAGCAGAATGAATGTTCATTTGTGAATATTGGTACAAAACATGGAAGCTAATTAATAAATAGAATCATGCAATATTGTATTTTATTTACTTATTTTTTTACATTTTTAAATTTTTATTTATGTTTTGTATCTATATTATTTTATATAAGTGCTCAGCCTGTACACGGCTTGCCAGAACAGGACATCGGATCCTATTATAGATGGTTGTGAGCCACCATGTGGGTGCTAGGAATTGAACTCTGGCCCTTTGGAAGAGTGGCTAATGCTCTTAACCTCTGAGCCATCTCTACAGCCCCCTCTTGACTAATTTTTATGATGAATTTAATTTATGTATCTGAGTGTTTTGCCTGTTTGTGTGTGAGTTATCATCTGCATATGTGGTATCCATCAGATACTAGGAGATCAGAAGAGGGCTTGCCTCGGACTTGCGTTACAGATGGTTGGGAAACACCAAGTGGGTGCTAAAAACCAAACCCAGGTCCTCTGCAAGAGCAACATGTGCTCTTAACCCCAGAGCTGTCTCTCCAGCCCCTATTCCTGATCTTTTAAGATGTGATTTCATGTAGCCCAGACTGACACACTACATATCCCATGAGGACCTTGAACCTCAGACCTTCCTGCCTCTACCTCCTGAGTGCTGGGCCCAGTACAGGGTCTCAAGGGTATATGATAAATATTAATGTATGTATTTGCTTTTTAAAAAAATTTTTTTTGTTTTAGTTTTGGTTTTTCAAGACAGGGTTTCTCTGTAGCTTTGGAGCCTGTTCTGGAACTAGCTCTTGTAGACCAGACTGGCCTCGAACTCACAGAGATCTGCCTGTCTCTGCTTCCCAAGTGCTGGGATTAAAGGCGTGAGCCACCACAGCCCGGCTATGTCTTTGATTTATTTTATTTTATTTTTATTTATGTAATCTTTTAAATTTTATTTATTTATTTCTGTCTTTGATTTTTTAATGTGTGTGTACACATGAGTATTTGTGTGTATGTGTGTGGGTGTAATTACATCCCCAACATGTTCTATACCTTTTACCTGAAACATGATGTACTCTGTGCTGGAGAATGTTTCACAAGTACTTGAGAAGTGTGTGTTTGGGAACTGCTGGATTGGGGTGGGGGGTGAGTGGGAGGAAGGAGAGGATGGAGGGGAAAGAGAAGAAATGTCTGACCTGATGGCAATAAAGAGTTCAGCTCATATTGCCCAAACTAAAGAATTTAATAATGGACAGGGGGCAGAAATGAAATAGATATAGTGGTGTGTCTGAAAGGGTCATCGTGAAACCCATCCTGAAGTTTTCTAGATAAAATAATGAATAAGGCATGCCGGTAAACTCAGTTAAAATGGTGATTGTGTGTCTGCCATCTGTTGTGGATGCAGAGAAGCTGGCAACTGCCTGTACTGCTGGGGCTCTGCAAACCCCTTCATCTTGCAGGACAGTCAGGCCTTGTATATTAGAATGTAAGCGCTGCACACCCTTCAACCCAGGGTTTTCTAGAGCTAACCCCAGAAATGTTTATTGCAGCTTCTTGCATCAAGCGTAGGGGAACAAACCAGGCATAGATGCATGCAACACTTACAATCTTAGCCCTTGAGGGACTGAAATAAGAAAATGGCCAGTCCAGGGCCAGCCTGACCTACACAGCAAGTTCAAAGCCAGACACAGTCACAGAAAGGGATGGATGGACCGCCTAAGTGTCCAGCAACAAGGTTAGACTCATGTGACATGCAGGACTTGATTCAGTGGAATACTGTTGAAAACTGAAGATGCTGATGCAGAGATGTGTGACGTGTATTAACGAACAAAGCAAAGGGTGGCAGGGGCACAAAGGTATACATGAAGGTACACCTTCATCCATAGATGGGGAAACGTAGAGAAAATCACAGCAGGGACATTAACTATCTTCATGTTCAGAGGTGCAACAGAGCCCTGGGAAGGCAAGGGCAGCGTGCCCAATTCTATTTTCATTGTGTAGTTACCTCGAGTGGACTCTTTCCATAGCGTGTTGTTTTCAGAATTTAAAGAGACTATTTCAGAAGAAATCACTTGTGAAGAGAGAAAGCTATATAAAATGTCTTACCCTGAGCTTCCTTCTTTTTCTTGCTTGGAAGTTCTGGGGAATCAGACCCGGGACCTTCTGCATTCTGGGCAAGTTCTCTGCCACCAAATGACATCCTGGCCCTGAATTTCCATGCTAAGTTCCCTTTTCTGTGGGTTTGTCTCATCTCTTCTTGGCAATGTCAGATCTGGAAAGGTCTGTCAGAGATCGTCCCTCCTTCCATTTTGTTCATGAGGAAAATAAAACCTGGAGATGTGTCATAAAACCTGCCTAGAGTCCCTGGCTAGTCTCTGCAGACTTTGGGCTCCCCTGATGTTGTTTTTAGGAGAGGGGCTGAGGATGCCATGCAACTTACAAAGCCTCATCCTCGGGCGTGTCTACCCTCTCCCAGTGTATGACATGAGTATTTCCCCCCCCATACCTCAAGATGTGGACACACAGATCCTGAGGCACCTTCCTGGACATTTGTTCTTTGTGGGCCAGGCAGGGGCCCTGCAATAGGCATTTCAGTAAGGTCTCCTCAGATGACTCTGACGGAAGAGATGGCTGTGGCTCTGCATACCCTCCTTTCACCTCAGCCCTGCTGCTTTACACTGTATCCAGGCTGAAGCTCCCATCCCTGCCATCTACCTCTGCTCAGCCTGGATGGCTCACTCAGGTCGTGTGTTGAGCACCCATTGGCCTCTGAGATGCCCTTCGCCCTACCAGAGCTCTCCCCAGGCTGGCCCAGTCGGAAGATGCTGACCAGCACATTGTATCTAGGAGGGACCTGGCCAGCTAGGGCTTGGGGAGGATCTGTCTACAGAGGTCTGGGATCCCTGCCTGCCTATCCTGAGAGTGTTCTGTTGTCCCTCTGCCACAGAGCTTTGAAGGAACCGCTTTTGTGGTCAGGAACTGGCGAGACACCGCGGGGTCACCTGGAAGCACCTCTTCCCAGGGACTGATCGAGAACAGGAAGGCCTTGGAACCTAGCCTTTCAGCCTGAGCTCTCATCAACACCCGCTGTCCTAGGTAAGTGCCCCTAACTTCATCCCACAGTCCTGGCACTGGGCCCCCCACCCTATCAACCTTGGGAAATGTGGCCCTTTGGTTGTCTCAGCCTGCGGTAGGTCAGTCAGCACTTGGGGAAAGTCCTGCATAGACGTTTTTAACCACAGCCTGCCTGGCAGGGGCAGCAGGGACTTGAGCCCTCTGCACAGGGCACTATCTCAGGGGGCTCAGGCTCCTGAGGCTCGAGGGAAAGCTGAGATTGTGGGCAGCTTGTCCTCTGATCATTGGTCAGAGCTCCTAGCTGGGACCTCTGCATGGAGGGTCTTGCCCAGCTGCTCTGGTATGGGGAGCAGGCTCAGGATAAGTCTAGCAATTCTCTTCTGGATGCTCCCTGACTCTGGAAAGGATTAAGACAGATAATATCTTTAGACCACTGGAGCTGGAAGGGATCTAACTGAGCTAATCCAACTCAATCCCTCTTTACTTCTTGAGCACCACTTAATATCAACAGTGAATCCAGATGTTGGCATTGAATATCTCAGAGGAATCAGGTGTAATCTTGTCGAAACCGCCTGGGAAGCTTTCTGTTTCAGCTGCCTCCTTCCTGCTGGCCTCAGCCCAGCCTCTGCCCCCGGATACCTTTCCTCTTCCCTACCATACGATCATCTCAACCAACCCACAGTCCTTTGTCTGACACCCAAAGGTAGGATGTGTTGAGAAGCAGGTGAGCATCGAGGGGGAGTCTTTCTTCCCTATTTTAGATGTGAGAACGCAGATTGGATCTTGGAGAAAGGATGCTGCAGCCCTGGAAACTGTAATAGGATAAGCTCTCTCTGAGAGCACCTAAGGCCTCTCCTTCATGAAGGAAAAGGCTGCCTTGTATGGGCTGTGGTCCAAGAATACTGAAATTGTTGTTGTTGTCCATTAGGGTCATCTTATATCTAGTTCCTTTTCTATGCCAAGTGCTCAGCGTTCCTGTAGCCCTTACGACTTCCTCTTCCTTTCTCAGGAGAGCCCCGCAGGCCAGGCGGCCTGGAGGCAGGTAGCACTTACTTTTGTTCCCCTTCAGGTCTCTAGATGGCTGTGGAAAGCCACTGTGACTATTTTGAAGGCTCTGCAGCCACCTGTCAGCCTCACCTCCTTTGTGCACCGCAGTCTCTAACCATCAAACGGGGGAACCAGTAGAACCCCAAGGTTACTGAGGTTTAAATAGATAAATGCCTGTCAAGTGCTGGAAGCAACCTCTAGCATTCTGTAAGTGGCTATCATAGTAGCTCTGCTCATTACCAAAGCCTGTTCTCTCCCAGTCAGGCTCAGATGCTTGATTAACTTCCCTAAAGCCCTGAGTAGCCGTCTGACTCCCAGGGCATACAGTCCTCCATGGCTCCCTGTGGCCTGTACCCTAACCTGCCCTTTAAGGGCCTTGAAAACAGAAACTGCATGTATCGTACTTACATTGTACACTATAAGAAATAATATTAATGTCTATTGAGACAGCATTTTCCCCCTCCAGGGGAGAAGGGTGTACTGAATCCCCGGGGAGTAGGGGTGTAACCATATGCAGCCAGCTTGATGGTTTAATTCAAGCTCTGCCTCTTACCCACAGCCATGATGTGAGCAGGGCTGGATATGGGCTGGGCTGCAGGTTCCACTGGATAAGGGTGGCTCTGGTTTCATCTGGGTCTGTGAGACTGCAAGTACAGTAGCCCTATTCTAGATTCCAGCCCTGTCCATATCAGAGTGAGGAGAGGTCAGCTGGCCATTGCCCAAACCAGGCAAGGAGTGCAACATTCCTTCAAGTTCAGGCCAGGCAGCAGACATGAAGTCATTGTCCTTGGCTCCAGGAGTTCTAGGCGGCTGGAGGTTGGCCGAGAGCACACCGGATCAGCACCCTGGACAGAGCACGCTGCACCTTTAACCCTGCATCTCCACGGAGGAGAGGCTGCGCACCAGGGAGGCCTGATGGTTGGTGGAGCAGGGCAGAGCCACATTTAAAACCAAGCTCATTTCCAAGTGCAGAGGCGGGGGTTAGCCACGACCATGAACTTTTCTAAGTCTCTATTTGTCCACCTGTAAAATGGAGAGAATAATCCCCCCTGCAGAGGGTAGAGTCCACGGTGGGTCAGCCAGCCAGCGCCCTTGCACAGGGCCAGCTTCACTTCAGTCAGACCCACAGACGAAGCTGTTCTTCTCAGTGCCACGTCCTGCAGCCTGCTCACTTTCCCTCAGTACAATGTGCCTTGCAGGCTATGGGCTCCATTCCAAGATGACAGACGACAGTGGTGGTTTAGACGGGGGGCGAAGGAGGATCAGCCCAAAGCTTCCAAGATTCCTGGCAGGGTGAGAGGCAAGGAGGGAAGTGACACAGATCTGTCTGATTTTTCCCTGAGATTTCTCCACCGGGAGCCTCAGGCACTGCCAAGCCCCAGGAAGAGAGGGTGCGGTGCCAGAAACTGAGCAGACCAAGCGGTGCCGGTTCCCGCAGGGCAAGCTTTCCTCCTCAATGAACTCAACAACAGTTGAGTGCTTGGGTTCTGGGCCCAAGGCTGAGCACTGAAGTCAGAAGCATGTCAACTGGGCACGAGTCTGTCTTCCTAGGCCTTCCCTTTGCTGGAGAAAGACAGGGTGTCCAGCACGCAGCTCACCTTTATTTATTTATTTTTTTGCATTATTTATTCTTACTGTTTTAGAGGCAGAGTCTCACTGAGTAGCCCAGGTTAGCCTCAGACTGTGTCAGTGTTCCTGCCTCAGTTTCTTTTTCTATTTATTTATTTATTTATTTATTTATTTATTTATTTATTTATTTATTTTGTATACGATATTCTTTCTACGTGTATGCCTGAAAGCCAGAAGAGGGCACCAGACCTCACCACAGATGGTTGTGAGCCACCATGTGGTTGCTGGGAATTAAACTCAGGACCTTTGGAAGAGCAAGCAATGCTCTTAACCACTGAGCCATCTCTCCAGCCCCTGCCTCAGTTTCTTAAGTGCTGGGACTACAGGAGTGTACCACGAGGCCTGGCAGATAACTTATATTAGGGGGAGAAAATGTAATATAATATGGAAACAAACAAACAAACAAAAACCCAGAGAAAGTAAGGAGTCTGTGGAATGCCTCAGAGCTGTGTCATTAAATCAGGCCTCCAGGGGGCTGGAGAGGACCTGAGCTTGGGCCCCAGAACTCATGTGAGGTGGCTTATGGCCACCTGTCACTCCTGCTCCAGGGGATCTGGTGCCGCTGGCCCCCACAGACACCTGAACTCTTGTGTACATGCTCACATGTAGACACACACCTATTCGTGATTTTTAAATATGAACAGACATTTAAAATTATAGCAGATAATTTGAAAAATTGGGTCACCAAGGCAGATAGATGTTACCAAAAATTTAGCACTCGAGACCCAAACTGCTCACCTTGGGAGTCCTTGGTGGGTCTCAGGATTCAGAATCAAGCGATTTCATGAGAGCTTAGGATAGGAGCAAGATCTAGAAACCCTCCTAATCCTAGCCCAGATGATGCCATGCCTTTTCTCCAATATTTCCATGGCTCCACACAACCTACACCGTGAAGCACAAGTCAGCCAGCCTGTCTTGGACGTCATGGTCTGTCAGGTTTCCTTTAGTTCAGCAGACCCTTTTCTCTCTACCTCTGTAGCCAAGCCTGTCTTTTGCAAGTATTTTATTCTCCACTTCCCTCCTCCTCCCATTTGTCCCTCTCTCTACTGCTTTCTGTCAGGGCGGAATCTCTGCTTTAGGAGTTCCTTCTGCCCCATGGTCCCCGAGGCTAGAGCTTCAGCAGATACCTTGCTTTGTACTGGGTTTGGCTCAGAGCTGCTGTCTGATCTGCCACCTGGGTACATGCTGAGGCTTTGGCCTGAGCTCCTCCACCTCCAGCAGGTGTTGACTCAGTAAATACGAGCTGAACTGTGTCCATGATTAAAGGCAGTGGGACAAGCAGGGTGAGCCTTGGGTCTGCTTGAAGGCCTAAGGCAGGAGAGAAATATGAACAGAAAAAGGGGGAGGGAAATGGACAACAAGGAAGAGAGGAAGAAAATCACCCTGGTTTACTTAGACTGTCGCAGGCAGGAGGATGGGTCTCTCTTCTCCAGAAATAGCTGCTACTCCCTTCAGCAATCCCGGATAGTATCTCTCTGAGTTTAATTAGAACACCTCTGGCTTTAGGCTGAGCCTGTTTCCTCTGGTTCCATCTCTCAGTCTGAGCCATTTTGTTGAACCTCCAGTCAAGGAAAAGCATAATCAAGAAGGAGCCTGGCCCCTGACCTGGGCCTGCCTCTAACTGAGGTCATTAACCCACCCCCAACCATACACGAATGGGAAGACTAAGGTGTGAATGTCACCACAATTTCTGGAGGCTTTAAGAGCTATGGCCCCTCGGCCACTTGTTTCTGCTCCCCTCTAGGGCTGACCTTTATCCCCAGATCTGTAGATAGAGAGGCTCCAGACCACACATGTGATTCTCAGGACCCTCTTGAGTTCCGGCCTCTCTGATGCTCCGTGAGGCTGTATAAACCAGACCAGCATCTTCAAAGATCTGGCTTCCGCCACCCTCACTAGAACAGCTTGCTTTTAGCAGGCAGCTGCTCTCAGAGCACCCCTGAGGCAGTCTACATGGCTTCTGGCCTATTTAGACAGATGGAGCCAGAGCCCAGGGATGGGCTTCAGCTGGGCCTTCATCTCATCTGAGGGTGGCATATTTCCATCTAGGGACTTGAACTCCCTAGGGAGCCCGACACAATCTGGACCCACAACTGCCTCCCTCCTCTGCTGCCTCCCCCTGAGCTTTTGTGCATTCGGTGGTCGGCTCTTGGAATGTCATACCATGGCTGGATGCCTTTATGCCCTTCAGGGCATCTGGCTGCCCTACCGATTCAGTGCTCACGTGGTAGCAGGGGATCCTGACTTGGGTTGTTGGGGGGTAGTTTAAAATCCTGTGCTTGTAGATTCTTAGCAGAGTGCCCAGCAGCTAGCAAGCTGTCACCTCATGGGAACTAAACCATCTA